AAAAAAAAAAAAAAAGACTTCATCTACTCTAAGTTGCACTTTTTCATACTGTAACATCTCCGAGGTCAGGATGTTCTTGTAATGATGGTGTCCCAGAGTAAAGCAAGGCGGCATCTAATGCCAATGACCACAAGTGCTTATTCTGTGCAAGGAAGACCTGAGTTCGGGCTCCTTGTAATTCCCAGCAACCTTGTGGGGTTAGTACCACCTTCGGCTCCCATTTTACAGAGGACAAAACTGAGGCCTGCAAAGTCACAGAGCTAATAGACAATAGTGGTGGGATTTTTACCTCTGAGTAGCTGACCCCTAGACAGAAGTGGTAGCTGTGAAGAAAGAAGACAGGAAGAGGAAAAAAAGAAAAGCAGAGAACATGCAGAGGAAGAATCGTGCACACCCAGTACACACCAGGCCGGGATCTAGGTGCTTTCACACGTTAGGAGAGCCTGCTGATTGGGCTGCCAGTGTGTGAAACTGGGGGCCCTGCCATGTTCCAGTCACCAAGCGCAGAATAGGCTGGCAGGTCTGAAGGCCCCACCCAAATCAAAGATCAGTGCTTCCAAGAAGTAGCCCAGATAGCCTTTCCATCTAACCAGAGATTGGTGCAGAGATTCCTGCAGAGAAACTATTTATACCAACTCTTAATTATCCAGTTTTTGTGTGTATTATCTAAACAAACTGCATAAGGTTCTCTTTCCCAAACACCTGGCAGATGAGGGATAGAGAAGGTGGGATTATTTCATTCTCAGCCTGAACCTAATGTAATGTGGAAGTAAAACTTAAAAGAGAGCTATTTCATTGTGCACCCCAAGGTCCAATGTCAATATCTGCAGGTAACCTGACACTCTAAGTTATCCCTTGCATCACTTTTTCCTTAGAAATGCAGACAACTAGGTGTGAAAAATAATCCCCATGTTCTTTGTATGTTTTTTTTAAGTCTCTTATGCTGCCCCTGAAAGCCAGCTGTCTGTCCCTCATTCTTCTAGAGTCTCATCAATGGGCCTGACCCACCACTTGGCTGAAACTGACCCTTTGAAGTCCTGCAGTGTGATGGTGTCCCCCAGCAGATCCAAGAACTCCTTGAATGCTGGGCTTTCCTCATTGTTCCCAAACAGCTCCTCCTCCAGGGTCTGAAAGAGAAACAGGAACAGGGGTAGCAGTTAGAAACAGCGTTCTTTCTCCCCCTGCAACACATCTGTCCTCAAATAGAGGAAAGACCGAGAGGGGTCTACTTAACAGATATCTACATTTAGGAGCCTGGTTAATAAAGATTTCCCATTTGAGCAGACGTTTTGTTCACTACAAAAAGCAAAGGGGAAACAAAGAGTCCTTAGGCTGGACACCAAGACAATCCATAAAAGAGAAGGTAATGGCTGAAGATCTGACAAAGGATTGGTGTGTAGAGTACAAAAAGAACTCTGAAAACTCAATAGCAAACAAAACCACAATGAGATGCCTCTTCACACCAACCAAGGTAAATAAAATAAAAAATAAAGGCAATTAGTCTTGGTGAGGTATGGTGAAATCAGCGCTCTCATCCTTTACACAGCATGGGAATGCAAAACAGTGTTGTCACTTAGGAAAATAGTCCGAAAGTTCCTCAAAGGCTAAACAATGAGTTAGTTGCCATGTGACCCAGCAATTTACTCCTAAGTATATACCCAAGAGAAATGAAAGCAAATGTCCACCCAGAAAGGTGTGTGCAAATGCTCGAGCACCATTATTCATAATAGCCCTGCAGTGCAAACAACTGAAATGGCCATCAACTGACAAATGTATAAACATATATAGTATAAGCTAATGGTGGAATATTACGCAGTCATAAAAAGATATTACACAGTGACTTATGCTACATCACAGATGAATCTTGAGAGCATTATGTTAAATCAAAGAAGCTAGACACAAAACACATATTAAGATTCCTTTTATGGGAAATGTCCAGAACAAGCAAATCCACGGAGAAATAAAGTAGATTTGTGGTTGATAAACACTAGAAAGAGCAGGAATGACAAGTGACTGTTATCGGGATAAAGCTTCTTTGGTGGTGGTGGGGGGGTGATGAAATTGCCTAGAGTTAGATAGAGGACAACTGCACAACTATGTAAATATACCAAAAATCACTCAATTGTACACTTTAATGAATTCACAAACATTGTGAAATGCATGGTGTGTGATTTATACTTCAATAAAGCTGTTACTTTAAAAAAAATTAAACTTAAAAGCAAAATCCAGTTAGAAAATGGTCAAAAGACATAAACAGTCATTCACCCAAGAGGATATACAGATGGCAAGTAAGCACATGAAAAGTTGTTCAACATCATTAACCATTAGAGAAATGCAAATTAAAACCATAATGAGATATCACTACACATCTGTCAGAATGACTAAAATGAAAAAATAGTAACAATGCCAAGTGCTGGAAACCATGTGGAGAAAATGGGTCACTCACATACTGCTGGTAAGAATGGGAAATGGAACAATCACTCTAGAAAACAGCTTGGCAGCTTCTTATAAAACTAAACATGCAAGTTCCATATAATCCACCAACTGTACTCCTACACATTTATCCCAGAGAGATGAGAACTTATGGTCACACAAAAACCTGTACACAAATGTTCGTGCAGCCTTATTCATAATAGCCCAACATTGGGAAACAACCTAGATGACCTTCACTGGGTGATGGTTAAACAGACTGTGGTATATCCAAACCATGGAATACTACTTAGTCCTAAAAAAGAATGGGTTATTGATATATTCAAGAACTTGGATGAATCCTGCTGAGTGGGAAAAAGTCAATTCCTAAAGGATATATACTCTATGGTTCCATTTATGGCATTTTTTAAGTGACAAAGTATTAGAAGCTGAAGAATACACAGGTGGTTGCCAGAGGTTTGTGACTGAAGAAGGGAACATGGAAGCAGAGGGAGGTCAAAATGGTTATAAAAGGGCAACCCAGTGAACATCTGTGAGGCAATTCTTCTGTATCTTGACTGTGAAAGCTTCACACGTAATAAAATTATATATAACAAAATACATACAGCCCTACATAATAGTACAGGTAAAATTGACAATACCTGAGTAAAAGTCATGGATAATATCCATATCAATATTCTGGCTATGATGTTGTGCTATAATTTCTTAAGACATTACCACTTGGGACTAATTGGGGAAAGGGTATACAAGATCTCTCTGTATTATTTCTTTCAATTGCATGTAAATCTACAAAGATCTAAAAATAAAAATTGAATAATTAAAAAAAAAATAGAAGGAAAACTGAAAGTGGAGTAAGCTCTGCAATCGTAACAGCCTTAAAATACTGAGTGGTCCTGCCTGGTAAGTAGGTTCTGTGGCAGAACCTGCAAACAGCTGAGGGCTCTGCCAGCATCCGTAGAGGTGACAAGGAAAGACTCTAGAGGACACAGAGAGATCCAGTATGCCCAGTCACCTCAAAAAGAAAGTCTGTAGTAGGTGATTCTTTAACACCTCTTAAATACCTTCCACATACAAAAAAGAATAGACTTCAGGTTTCAAGCTTTCAATAAACAACACAATCTAGATTTCAGTAACTTTTATTTATTTATTTATTTATTTTAAAGATTTATTTATTTGTGCATACAGAACTGGGGTACAGGCCAGAGGCTCAGGGGTGGTGAGGGGCCTCACCAGAGACAGAATGGAGAGCAGAACAGGCAGATCGATGAAGTACACTGCTGAGGGGAGCAGCGGGAGGGTCAGGAGAGGTCTGCCACGCCTTGTGGTCACCTCTAGGGAAGGCGGGAATCGAACTCATGCAGAAGTGGCTTTAGCTTCTTAGTGCAGTGCTTTAACCTGCTGCGCCACTAGGGAGGGCCTCAGTAACTTTTTTATAGCATTTCTGTTTAGAATTACCTTTGTTTCATGCAAATCACACTGATTTTCCAGTATTTGTTTTCTTTAAAAGTAAATGTATTTAAGCAAAACATTTTTTCAAAGAAAATAACAAACAGTAGAGTGATGATAAAAATTCTAAGAGTACAGCTTTGCATTGCTGCACTTTAACCTGTTGTGGCACCAGGGAGGGCCCTAAATGCCCAAAACTAGATGGCTGGATCAAGAAAATGTGGTACAAATACACAGTGGAATATTACTCAGCAATCAAAAAAGATAAACTCATGCCACTTGCAGCAACATGGATGGAGCTGGAAGGGATCATGCTTAGTGAAACAAGACAGAAAGAAGAAGATAAGTACCAGATGGTTTCACTCATAGCAGGAGTATAAAGCATCAGAAGAAAAAAAAAAAGCAACTGTAAGAAAGAAAAACAAACATCAACAAACAACTATAAACCAGAGACAATCTATGGAGGTGAAGAGGGGAATAATATCAAAACGGGGGCGGGAAGAGCGCATGGGACTATGTGATGGCACATGAGTGGATTGGTGGTTGGAAGTCTACAGGACATAAAAAAATGTACAAAAAGAAGAATAATGTAAAATGTATATTAAAAAATATTCTAGCAGTAGAATCTAGTAGAGCAAACTCTATGGTATAGAACTTCAGTGAGGCCTATAAATGTGTAATTTGGGAAAATTGGCTCTCTAACAGGGATCAGCAAACTGTTGTCTATGGGCCCACTCTGGCCAGCTGCCTGTTTTCATAAATAAAGTTTTATTAGAACACAGCAATATTTACATATTGTCTGTGGCTGCTTTTGCATTAAAGAGGCAGGGTTAGGTGGCTGCCACAGAGACACTACCACCCTTAAAACCTGAAATATTTACTATCTGATCCTATATGGAGAAAGCATGCCACCAAGAAATCACAGTCCAGCATACTGTCTGTCCCAAGTCAGGAGGCTAAAGTGTGGAGAACAGCTACTTCCAGGCAGCCCAATCTAGTGGGGGAATATTTCAACCTCGGCTGTGGGTGTGCATCTCTCGCCAAGACTCACATGCAACACTGCCCATCCATTTATACTGGACCTGAGCTTGACCATACACTCAAGGAGGGGTGCTATATTATCACTGTATCCCCCACCATACTTAGCACAGTGCCTGGCAAACAGGAGAGTTAAATGCAAGTTTGGTTTTTTTTTTTTTAAGATTTCTTTTTTTATTTATGCATACAGAACTGGGGTACAGGCCAGAGGCGCAGGGGCAATGAAAGGATTCACCAGAGACAGAGTGGGGAGCAGAACAGGCCGACAAATGAAGTACACTCCTGAGGGGAGCAGAGGGCCAGTCAGGAGAGGTCTGCGGCGCCATGTGGGTGATGTCACCTCCAGGGCGGACAGGGATCGAACTCATGGCTTTAGCTTCTTAGTGCTGGCCTGTACCCCAGTTCTGTGTTTTAACCCAATGTGCTACCAGAAGGGCCCAAATGGGATTTATTTATAATCTAAGACCAGCAAAGGGCTTTCATGCAACAAATGTTCACATTAAAATGTGCACTAACTGCAGATTTGCTAAACAACAATGTGCCAAGTTTTTTGAAAACACTCTTATCTCCCTCTGCCCACCTCCCACCCCCACAGCATCAGGTACATAACCACCACCACACAGACTCCTGCTCAGAGGTGGATGGCTAATGTTCAGTAATTATAACTTTGCTGGAACACTGGACTGTAATCACCTTATGAGATCTACTTTGGTAAATTTCACAAGCAAAGAACTTTAATTAGGGGAGTTCTATTAGCAGAGCTGTACAAAATACAAATGTAATATGTGAAAATAATTAGAGCAGCTACCTGAATAATCTCCCTCAAATTATAAGATTCCTCTTTGTTGGTCTTTCAGCTCCTAAACTCTTGACTTAATTAGAGTGTTTTTAGGGACTACATGTCTCTTGTGGGCTAATATCTTCAGAGAAGGAAATCAGCTACCATCTAGCCAAGAAAGACACTGTCATACATACCAACAAAATAAAAACATAGATAATATTGGAAGATGCAATCAACCTATCATCAGCAAGCTTAAAACCTGTATTCACTCATTAATAACAGAGAACTTATCAAAAGATTATGATTGTATTTATATAAAGTGAGTATTGTAGGCTCTTGGATGATACAAAGACAAAATGGGTGTGGAATGTTCTTTCATACAACCCATGTGAGGAAATATCAGTGTATTCAGCAGGATGTTAATAAATGTTGATGGTAGGAAAGACAAGAAGTTTGTGGTCAAGTATGGGAAACATTTGGGTTTAATAAAGAGTTTTTAGGTCCTCCCTGGTGGTGCAGTGGGTTAAAGCACAGCACTGAGAAGCTAAAGCCGCTTCCGCATGAGTTCCATTCCCGC